GAGAAAAGTCAGCGCATTTTTTATTTGAAAAGTGCCCTTCTATTTCACAAGAGCTTATTTCCACCACGAATAACTTTGATCTCCGTTTCTTGCCCGGCACACTGATTGATTTATTCATGCGATAAATGTTTACAAGGTGCCTGCCTTTGCTAGGTAGACTGCTGGGATCTGGGATATTGCAGCACACACTGTCGAACCTTCTCCCGTGGTGGGCTGTACTGGAGTGGAGGAGGGGCAGTCAGAAATCAAATACCTAGACGTATGTCCGAAGTGATCGAGAAGTGCCCGGTGGGATGACACGGCCACACAGTCCAAGTCAGGCACCGGGACAGGCGGAGGGCTGCTCTAGTCTGAATGGCCAAGGAGCTTGCTTCCGAAGGGGATGTGTTCACTGAGGGTTAAACAGCAGGAGCCAGCAACACAAAGACACAAGGGAGAACATTCCAGTTAGACCCACAACTAATGACATGAAGTTTTTGCTTCTGACGGTGGAGGTCATGACTCCTCCCTATGACACCACGAGCACCTGCTGACCGCGGCCATAGGTGCTGAGAACATCCCAAGTCCCTGGTCAGTAGTTATGGGGGGCTGGGTCAAAGGGATAAAAGATTAAAAAGTACAAATTAGTTGTTACAAAATAGCCACAAGGATCTAAAGAACAGGGTAGGGAGTAGTCAACATATTGTGGATTGATGGTATACAGTGATATGATATTGTAACAACTGTGTCTTGGACTACAGGGGGAGCATTTGTAAGGTATATACATGTCTAGCCACTGTGTTGTACACCTCAAACTCATACAATGTTGAATGTCAACTGTAATTGAAAATTTTAAAAAAATTTTAAATAGTTATCACGTTTCTGCTAACGATTGGCACAAGAAGGCCTTGCGATGGTCTCGACCAACATTCTCCCGCGGTCCTGGACCATGACTGCCTTCAGGAATGATTTCGTCAGCACTGCGGGAGCCTTAAAAGATGCTGCGAAGTCCATCAAGGACCAACGCAGACCGGTCGATGGAGACGCTGAGCAGGTACACATGGCTGCTGAGCTCTTGAAATGTGGCCAGTGGAGCTGAGACACTGCCTGTTTAAATTACGGTTAAGTAATTTAGATGGAGTAGCCACCTGTGGCCACTGGCTACCATATTGACCGAGCAGACCTAGAAAATTCATTGTGAATAATTTATCAGTGTCTTACACCACACCTTAAAATTCTGAAACCACACCTTTGCAGTATTAATAAGAGGTGAAAATGGAATTTTCATACCTGAACGTGCAGTGCCCTGGGGAAAGGATATCTTAAGGGCAGCGTGTTTACAATGAAGTAGCGGTGCTGTGGGCACAGCCCTTCTCGTCCGCTTTCCTTCGACACAGTCGGGGACGCGGTCTCCTCCCTCGGCAGCCCAGCCGTGGAGTTAGGGCACAGGCGCTGCGCCGGGAGGCCTCAGCCAGAACAGCAGCCAAAGGGGATTGATTCCAAGTGCACCCGTCTCTCTTCCCTTGATGCATTTGTGTTCACGGAAGTGATTTCCACTATGTGTGACTAGTAGGAAATTGCAGAGGCAGAATCTGATTGAGGAAGAAAAACTCTAGGGGGAGATGTAGGTATTAATGGTGTTGTATCCAAAAAATAAAATAAAAGAGAGAGAGAAATCATTTAATTAGAATGAATGATCTCAAAACACTTTTGGAAAGCAATAGGAGGTCTGTCCCTTGCTGGGATGTGGTGTGACTTCCTGTCTGACACCCCCGACGTTTCCTGCAGAAGCCAGGCCCACACCATCCTTCCTCACAGATGGTTCTGAGACTCCCCTACTCCCAGTCTTCCAGACAACCGGGAGACCTGCTGTCTCTCACGGAACCGCGCCGCTGTCCAGCTTCTCAACTCTGACCAAGCATCCCGTCTCTGCATCCGCCTTAGTAACCCTGTCATGAGACTTCTTGTTGCTCAGAATAATGTCCAAAACGTATCTGACCCCATCAGTAGCTGTTCAGGGCTCTATTATGTGGCTGAATGATTAGAAAATATATTTGCTTATATTTATTTTGGAGAAGTTTCTCCTTCTTTTCTTTCAACGGGGAACACTAGTGTCCCTGGATGGAAATGAAGCAGAACACAGTGCTGTCCAGTTGCAGTTGGCTGTGATATCTGACGTTCCAGCACACACACACACACACGCACACGCACACATATACATACACACACCGCACATGCACGCACACACATACACACACTCACATGCACACACACATGCACACACACAAACATGCACACACATATACACACAACCACACCCCACACACATGCATGCACACACATACACACACATGCACGCACACACAAACACCCCCCACTTGCACGCACACATACATGCCCACAGACACACACGCACACACCCTGTTTGGGACTGTTACCATCTCGTGTACATGAAGTTGTTTGTTGGGACTTTCTCGGAGCTTCATGAAGGGCAGTTACCTGCTGAACTCCCTGTGGAGGTCAGCGAACCCCAGCTCAGGGGTGGCCACAGAGAGGACTCCCAGAGCACATTAGCCTGAAGCAGTGAGTCCCTGGTGGTGAGGATCCACCAGCCCTGCTGTGGCAACAGCCGCTCCTGAACCTGAAGCACCTCACTCGGGGAGCCTCCAGGTCTTGCTTGGTACTTTCTGGGGAATTCTCCGCCCACCGCCCTTCTCTCAGGAGCAAACCCCTGACTCGCACAGGCCTCTCACGCCTAGTCGGTCGGCAAGCTCTCCGTGCCCGTGCCCCGTCCCTCTGGCCCAGCCTCCTGCCTCCCACGGCGCTGCTTCTCGGAGAGCTGTGTCTGCCCCGCTCGCTCTCTCGTGTCCACGGCCTTCCGCCCTGGGGTCCGCCTGCGGCGAGGTCCGGGAGAACACGGTGACCACACAGGAAGCTGGGAGGAAGCTTCCGCGGTCCGTGCACCCGTCCGAGTCCGCCCGGCCTCACCGGAGACCTGTCTGTGCCGCCGCCACAGCACGACCGCGTCGCAGCACCTGGGCGCAGGACACCGTGCGGACACACAGAGGGTCACCCAGAGGGCCGAGCGTCCCTAGGAAACGGAGCCTCAGCTTCTCACAAACGCCCCTGGGGTGGGAAACCGGTGCAGAGTGTGAACACGTGTGGAAAGAAAGGATGCTGTGCTTCCCGAGGAGACAGCGGCCGCAGGGCCAGCGACTGAGGGCAGGCGCCACGCGGGTGCTCAGGGCGGGGCCCAGGAAGGCCTCCTGTGGGGACATGCAGGCCATACTGACCGCCGGCCCCGTGTCCAGGCCAGGGGACAGCCCTGCTCGCCCCTGTCCTCGGCGGCTGGTGATCTCTCCATCTTGGTGCTGGACGGGGCCAGGGCCGGGGCTGAGGGTGCCCGGGGCCATGGGGTGCATGCTCTGTGGGGGCAGGGGGTAGGCAAGTGAGATGTTCAGAGAACAACAGGTGTTGTGAAGAAAATAAAACATGAGTTTATAGAAAATGATCGAGAAGACCACTTTGGATTCGATGATTACAAAGTTAAGTTGGATACATTGCCTTATGTACCTCAAGTCAAAGGAGCCCTACACGTTATCCGGCAGGGACGGAGTTTCGATTGTAAACGACACATTTCCCTTCGGGTAAAGATAATGGGCCGTGAGTATTGACAGGCGAGTGAAGGACACTGCTGTGTCCGCTTATTGTAGTCACTGAACGGCTGCCCCGCTTATTTACTTTTTTTTGTCCTCACTCGAGGACATTTCTCCATCTTTCTGTTCAGATAGAGTGGGAGGGAGAGAGGGAGACAGAGAGAACAATTGATGAGAAAGAGATACATCGAGTGGCTGCCTCTTGCACGACCCCAACCAGGGCCAGGGACGAATCGCAACTGAGGTACATGCCCTTGGCTGGAATTGAACCCGTGACTCATTGGTCTGCGGGCCGATGGTCTACGCTGAGCCAAACCGGCCAGGGCCCCACTTTATTATTTTTTTTAACGTCATTAACATACATAGTCACATAATTTTTTTTCTTTTTTTATTGAATGTATTGAGGTGTCATTGGTTAATAAGATTATATAGGTTTCAGGGGTACAGTTCTGTAATACATCATCTATATATTGTGTTGTGTGTTCACACACTGATCCCCTTTACCCTCTTCTCCCTCCCCACCCCTTCCCTGGGTATCCCCACACTGCTGTCTGTCTGTGAGTTTTTGTTTGTTTTGCTTAATTAATCTTTTCACCTTTCCCCCCACCCCTCCCTCTGACAGCTGTCAGTCTCTGTCTGTGAGTGTGTTTCCGTTCTGTTGGTCATTGTTGATTAAACACTAGAACGTTAGAGTCAAAACCATAAAACTTCTAGAAGAAAGCACAGGCAGTAAAATCTCGGACGTTACTCACACCAGTACTTTTCTGATCTGTCTCCTCGGGCGAGGGGACACGGGAACCGAGGGGCCTCCAGCACACGAGGAGGTGTCTGCCCACGGGAAGCCACCGGCACAGGCCACCGGGCCTCTGGGGGCACAGACGGCCGCTGGCCAGACTGGAATCCGCTCTGACGATGTTTTTCACGATCACTGTGCTCATTTTCAGTGACCGCATGGTGCATTGTCCCCAGGAGGACACGAGTCGTGCAGAGGCCTCCGTCGTAAGTCTAGGGAGTGTGAGGTGGAGGCACCAGGAGGCACCCGGCCTTGTAGGTGGAGCGTTTGCTGTGTCCACAGACACGGGGGCTCACCTGCCTGGAGCGGCCTTCACGCCCTGGAAACTGACTCGTCCAGGCAGGCAGGGCCTGTCTGCTCCTTCTCTTCCCCGAGGGCAGCCCTGGGTGCAGTGTCCGGGCCCAGATCGAGCGCCTGCCACGCTCTCGTTAACCATCCCGCACGGGTCAGCGACGGAGAGGTTTGCTGGGCAGAGCGCTGGCCGGCGTGGCCAAGGTTCGGCTGTCTCTTGCCTGTTGCGGAGGACGCTGCGGCCCCGGCGCACCCCTGAGCCGCCTGTGCTTGGCTTGCAGGGCCAGTGGTTCTGGAGGGTGAGGAACAACCGGGTCATGGACGGGTACCCGCTGCAGATCGCCTACTTCTGGCGCGGCCTGCCCCCCGGGATCGACGCCGTGTACGAGAACAACGACGGGAACTTCGTCTTCTTCAAAGGTAAGGCCTGTCCTTGTCTGCTCCCGTGCCTGGGCCCCTGTGAGCACCCGGCACCATCGCCCTGGAGAGGTGACCTGGGCGGCCCGCTGAGCGTGGCCGCTGCGCGCTCCTTCCCCGGAGGAGCCGCTGCACTGCCGGGGACGTCGGGGACGTCAAAGCAGAGGTGCTTCTCAGTTCCCTCAGTCCTGTTTCCCCGGCGGCGTCTCTCGTACAGGTCAGATCCAGGAGGCCCTGGGGTCTTGTAGGATGTTGACATTTTGCTTAAAAGCACCCAAAATTGTAAGATGGATGAATGAAGGAATGATTGAAAAGCCATTTTTCCATGAACTAAAGGTTTGTTTTTTTTTTTTAAATAGTATTTGGAGTTGCTTGCTGTTTTGTGCAATGAAGTCCCTTTCATTTCTCAAACATTCTTTGATTCAGTCAGTTTATATTAACTAGTTTACAACAAACCGGAAGGGCTCGGAGAGGCAAAGGGAGCGTATGGGGAGAAACAGTTCTCTCCGTGCACTTCACTGGGTGGCATTTCCCCCTGCTGGGTATCGAGCGACGTGTGTTCGCCGCTCGCCTTGGCCGACTGGCCCGCAGAACTGAGCTCCGGCTGCTGGCTCTCCGTCTCCAACACTGGCCAGCACCAAGTCAGCGCAGCTCACACTCGGCCGGGAGGGCAGGGATGCGAGCCGAGGGCCGAGCTGCTCAGGACGGCCAGGCTGTCGCTCAGGAGCAAAGGACGTAAAATGAGCTTAAACAGGGAAAAAATGGAGGTCGTGACAAAAAGAAGCAATCATTCTCAGCATCAAACCTAGAAGACTTTGTAGAGAGGGTGAGGACAATGAGGACACGGCATTTGGGGAGCACTTGTCATATTTCAAGTGAGGTCCACACGCCCGTTTGAGCCTAGTGTATCCTTAGAATTTGTCTTCACAGGCTGCTCCCTAGGGAGAGGGTTAGTGCCCTGTCTGTGAGGACATGTGGGGTCTGACCTTGGCTGTGAGGATGCTCGGGGTCTGACCTTGGCTGTGAGGATACTTAGCTGTTAGGATTCTCGGGTCTGACCTTGGCTGTGAGGATGATCAGGATCTGATCTTGGCTATGAGGATACTTGGCTGTGAGGATGCTCGGGGTCTGAACTTGGCTGTGAGGATGCTCGGGGTCTGACCTTGGCTGTTAGGACACTTGGGGTCTGACCATGGCCGTGAGGACGCTCGGGGTCTGACCGTGGCCGTGAGGATGCTCGGGGTCTGACTGTGGCCACGAGGATGCTCGGGGTCTGACTTTGGCCACGAGGATGCTCGGGGTCTGACTTTGGCCACGAGGATGCTCGGGGTCTGACTTTGGCCACGAGGATGCTCGGGGTCTGACCGTGGACGTGAGGATGCTCGGGGTCTGACCTTGGCTGTTAGGACACTTGGGGTCTGACCGTGGCCGCGAGGATGCTCGGGGTCTGACCTTGGCCACGAGGATGCTCGGGGTCTGACCTTGGCCGCGAGGATGCTCAGGGTCTGACCGTGGCCGTGAGGATGCTCGGGGTCTGGCTTTGGCTGTGAGGACACACAGGGTCTGTGGTCGGACACGGTTTCGCCAGCTGACTGGCTGTGAACGGGGCGAGGGCCTCAGCTCACTTTGCCTGGGTCCCTATCTGGACCAGGGGCTGGCGTGACGCCCTGGGATGAGTCTGAGGACCGCGTGTGGCCTGGGCAGCTCTGCCCTCCGGTGCCCTGAATGAGCGTGGACGTGGCGTGGACAAGGACTGGGAACTCGGGACGGCCACACTGGAACGGCTGCCATTTGTAGGGCAAGAACCCTCCCCGTCGCTGCTTTGGTCCTTGAGCAGCAAGAACAGGAGGAAGACGTTGGCCTGCGGTGACCCCGGGCTGGGGGCTGTCCCAGGGGCCTGTCCCTGGACCAGTCGTCACGGCCCCGGGCCTCACTGCTGTCCATTTGCCCCATCCTCGTCACGGTGGGAACACGGTTGGGCTCGACGTGGCGCCCCTCGACCCGCGCTGACAGCAGCACAGCTTCGGCTCTGGTGTCATTTTATCCATCGTGCACAGCAAGGGGCCTGCGAGTGGCCCCCTCCAGTCTGCTGCGGTCTTGAGGGGTCTGGGGTCAACGTCCTTAGTCAGGACCCTGTGGGGGCTTCCTTCCTCCAGTTCGAATCTGCGCTGCCCCGGGGCACACCTGTCCCACCCCAGCTGCGAGCGCACAGAGCTCGACCCGAACCTCCGTCGGGGAAGGGCGGGGCGGGTCCCGGGTCCCTCCCTGCTCTCCAGCTCTGCGCTGCAGGACAGAGGAGGCCAGACCTGGGCACATCGCAGCCATGCCGTCTCCGCTGCCCCGTCTCCCCACCGCCCTTCTCACGTCGGGAGCCCGGGGGCCCCCGCACTCCTCATCCCAGCGTCTGCCCCTCTGCTGTCTGGACGAGAGGCCACCCAGGTCCTCCTCCGCGGGATGCCTCCTCGCCATCTGGAACTCTGCGTCCTCTTTCTATTGCTCATCTGCGTCCTTCCTGCTGGAACAGGAGTCCAGTCCTGCTGGACATTTGCCTCCTTCCTTAGCTTTATGCCAGCACGTCCCCCCATCTTACCCCGGGGCTGGCGGACCCGCGGGACGACCAGCGGCCAGTGTCGTCGCCTTGGCAGCCCCTGCCTCCTTCACATCCTTCTGTCTTCGTTCCTTTTAGCTTTAAAAAAGTGAAAACTTCTCACCTCATGTGCTGTTCAAAAACGGGCCATGAGTCCGTTCGCTGGTCTCTGTTTTAATGACCCCTATAGTCTAGTGGACACTGACACAGATTCGTGGAACGAGAAAACAGTGAAGTTCAAGTGCCCTGCGTGCGCCAGCCGCGGCCTGTCCTGCCCACGAGGCCCTGCTGCTCGGACCGAGCTCGTCCTCCAGGGCTCGCTCCTGTGGCCTTGGCTCCTCTCTCCGTGTCTTTCTTCCCTTCTCTTTACACGGACCGCCCTGTCTTTCCTTCTTCTACTCTCTGCATGTGCTTCACCCGCTCTGCCTTCTGCTCCCACTGTCGGCACGTCACTCATCGAGCCAGAGACTCCGCGGAGCGCTCAGGACCCGCCTGGCCACGGTCTTGCATAAGAATTCAACGGTGTGGGTTCACATACAAGTATAAATGAAGGTTTAGTCATAAAGTATAAGTATTGTCTTAGTTATATAAAAATAAACACATGTTATATTCCAGTGAACTTTTATACATATCTTAAGAAGAGTGGGAAGTTTTTAGATACAATGAAAACTTCTTATTTTGGCATCATTTGTAGAATTTTTTGAACTTTGGGCAAAATTATAGGAGTGCATTTTGTCACGTAGATTAGTGAAACATGGAAACATGAGCATCATCCTGTGGAGATGCGATCAGTGTGGCATTCTTAGCATCTCAGTTCTTTGGGGAACGTTAAAATATAATTAACAAATTGAGGGTGCCCTTCGCTTCCAGCCAAGATAGAGTGATGGGGTCGGGTTCAGCCCACCTGGAACAGCCCACATGTGGGCAGCGTGTGTGAAATGGTGATTTCTGTGACACCAGACGTCCAGAAAGGAAGGTCAGTGCCGCCTGGGAGTCAGGAAGCGAGGCAGGTGCCCGGGGACCTGGCCGCAGGCTCCCGTCTCGGCCAGTCCGGCTGAGGCGGAGGGGAGAACCCAGGGGAGCTCAGGACACGGTCAGCTGGACGGAGAGCCGAGCATCAGGGGAGAAGGCACCCAGATGGAGCGGTGCCCAGGAGAGATCCGCACGGAACGAGGACCCAGAATGGCAAAGGGACCCGAGAGTGGGGGAGAGAGTCCTGCGGATGTCCGGGCAGCGAGCCATCAGCGGACTAAAGGGCTAAAGGGCTAAAGGCACAGTGCCGACACACACACCTGTTCCCAGGCCACCTGTCCACGGGCATCGGCCAGGGTCTTACCCAATAGTGAGGACGAATGTCTCCAGAATGGGCACTGGTCAGTCCTACCTAACAAAGCTTAAAACAGCGGAAGCAAATTGTTTCCCAGCAAGTCCTGGAACAAAGCTCCAGAATATTTGTGGGGACACAAAAATATTCACCCAGTGAGGTAACATACACAATATCTGACGTCCGCATGAGACTAGGAACAAGACAAAGTATCTCAGCTTAACAGTTCTATTCGCTGTTTTCCCAAGGGGTGTATCTAGTGTAATGAGGAAAGCGATATACAATAAAACTACTCCCAGACAACACGATTATCTGTGTGGAAGACGTGGTCCACTCAACCAGTTACCTGTGCGCGAAAAGGAACTCTGCAGACCTGCAGGGTACAAACCGCCACACAGAGTTCATTGTCTCTCTGTGTGTCTGCATCCTCTGAAGGGCCTGAGGGTTCACCCTGTTTTTAAGCTAACAGGTTAGCTGACCTCACTTTCAGGATGTTGGCAGAGGGCACAAGACTGGAGGCAGAGACAGAGCAGGTTCTTCACGGGCGTGGCCCGAGCCCGGGCTCCAAGGGCGTGTGGAGAGGGTGGCGGCGCCCGGGGAAGGTGCGTGGTGGACAGGACCATGTGCTCTCTGCTCTCTGGTCTAAGTCCCCAGCTTTATTTTTCTTATTTTCCATTCATGTTTTAACCCTTTTTACATCTGTTTCATATAAGAACACTCGCATTTTTTGTAATGAAGCAAAGTATAAGTAGATACGTATTAAGTTTTTTTCCCCTCAACCTCACATATGTAAATATGTGTGTGTTTTTTTTTTTTTGTAAGAAGTCAGTTCAAATTGTCTCCCGTCACTGGCCTAGAGGGTCTCTGCTTGTGTCCAGGTGCGATGCCAGGTGCCCGGTGCCAACTGGCCCCTTGGTTTGGTACATGTGACTGTTACCTGGTACCTGGCATCGTTTAGACCCCCTACCATCTCTCTTCTTGACGTTTGGGAGCTAACATGGTCAGTCTCCTCTACTTATGTTCAAAAGTTGGTTTCTTTTCTTAGAGAGCTCCAGAAACAGAAAATAGATCCAGTTGGGGAAATAACACGCT